ATAACTTCTTTCACCTATTTCTCTTCAGCCACCTTTACCTTTTTGTTTTTGTTTAAGGCGGCCTTGTAGTTTACCTTTTTATTATTATTTGTTAAGTTTTAGTAACATACATTTCCCTGAAAACACTTAACATTTATATATTAAGTCTTAGTATATTTTCTTCTAAGATTATTTGAAGATTTTAAGTCGGGATAAATCAGTAGATAAATAGTTTTTCACATCGTTTTTTGAATAGTATGAAGATGTTCCAAAAGAAAAATTAGGATAGTCAAGACATATTAGTGAATTAAAAGAATGTTGCTAAGTAATCAATGTCAACAAAGATGGCTTTAGTTGAAGTTCATTAGTTAATCTTCCACCATTACAGTGTTATTTTTTTAGGTTTGGTTTGATGTTTACATGTAAGACAATGTGAAATGTCCAAGCCATGGCTCCACATGAAAAAGGGCAGGTGGAATGATCTAAGCTATCCACACTTTTTTGTCCTTTTAATATGCTGAAATGGAATATAATCAAGTTCAATCTGCCTTCTAGAAATCTACCCCTGTAGTTGACCATTTCTCTAATGTGAATCAAAGTTTCGGTTAGCCAACTCTAATTTTCCCATCGTGCTCTCTGTAACCGCGTTGCATAAAAATATTGAAGTCTTCATCATATTCATTGACCGTTCTTGGATTGTGGATTATGGGCGGCGAGTCACCTGGCTTAGCCGAGAAATAAGTGCTGACATGACAGCACATATCTGCAGAGAAATTGCATATCCACTATGGAACTCATTGTGGGATGAGGTTGCTATTTGCTAACTTTGAAGCAAATGTGGGCTCTCGCAGGCTTATGGTCAGAACTATAAATGACATCAACTGATTCGTAACAGTGCAAACTTGCAGTGATTTTGCCAGGATCTCCGATCTTGAATAAGATCCGATCGGTCCATGACGGAACTCGAACCTGTCAAACATTATAGATGATCTATTGTTTTGAAAGATTGAATCTAACAGAGAACATTATCGGTAATCAGTTATCACCTTACCTTGTAACTTGTATCGTAATTGCTACTTCCTAGATTATATTTATACGTTGGTTTGAATGTGAGTGTTCCCTCACAATATCCATTGAAAATCTGCCCTCTTTCGGCTTCCTGATGGAGTTGATCTTTGCTTGTAAGGAGCTGCAAGAAATAAACAACAATGTTTAGGCGAGAGCTATTGTGCAAGGATGGAAGATAAACTGAGAAAAAATATGGAACTGACTCTGTGAAGGTTTCTTTGTATTAAGTTTCTGGCTGGATGTGTGTGGATGCCTTGTAGCCTGTAATTGAGGTCGCCTAACCATATGGTGATTTGTGCGGGCCTGGCGTAAGGGTTCCAATACTTTGAGAAGAGAGACTGAGATATGTGCCTGCACTGTGCATTTCTCTCTTCTACATTTCCAGCATGAGCTGCTTTCAACAGAAATAAGATCTTCACTGGCCCAAAATGTAAAAGCTTAGGGTGCAAATTTGATATTTTATGGGCTCCCATTAAATCCAATGAATGGATTCTGAGGGAACTGGGCCTCTGAATTTTAATTTTAAAAAAAGAATTCATCCAATTGTTTCAATGATAAAAGGAAATTTTTTATCTTTCTACATGAACCAAACCATCTCGGTGGTAAAGTTATTGTTGTTATTATTTGAAGTCCGAGTTCAATCGCCATAAATGTCAGAGGTGGAGTGTTCAATGTCAAATGATTAAGAAGTTATCTTTGAACATATACTACTTCGATTTTGAGTAGTAATGCATACAAGGTACAATAGCGAAATTGGGTGGGCACATGCATTAATAATATAATTTTTCATATGATGCAATAAAATTTCAAAGCGGGCACATGTCCACCCTAAGTTATTGGTGAATCCACCACTGACAAGTGTGTGCACACGTTGTTAACAGTCTAAGGAAATTTTAAATATTTACTATATGGTAATCACTCTAAGCTATTAAAAAAAAAATAAATAGTTTCTTTATAAAAAAAAAACCTTTTTAAAATCAATTTTAAAAGTAAATAATTAAAGATAATTAATCATAATTTTAATATTTTCATTAATTTAATTGACTTTGAATGTTTATACGTATTGACAATTTGATTATAGTTCTAAAAATTTCATCATATACTTCACACATTCAACAAATGTTATGGGTAATTCTTTATGCTTTTTAAAATTAAAGACCAAATCCATATAATATATAAACAATTGAAATCTAAATGTATTGTTATATATATATATATTTTGATGAAAAACATTAATATTGTAACTTTTAAAATTGATAGAGATTAAATTAATTTTTAGAGGGATTCATTTATCTAATTTTAAATTTGAGATAAAGAGATTTTTTACCTAATTGTATCATAATTAATGGTGATACTGTCATTTACTATATATATAATGACAACTAACATAACACGTTTTACAATCATATTTGCCTGTTATTCTTCTAATGATTTCTTTGATTGAATAAAAGAGGGGTTACCTGAGAGATGGCAAGTGATGAACACCATTCTGAATCCTTTGTAACTGATACGGATTGCGACGGCTCCTTTCTTTCTGCTCATCATTCCTCCAAAGCCTCCAACAGAATGTTTATCCACCTTGAGATCTAAATGTGATTGAATAACATACAAATCAATTGCCCTCATCTAAGATATATGATAATCTTATATTTAAAGTAGAAAATTAATTATGGATTTCACAGAAAAACTGGCAGGATCTCTTACCTTTTAAGAACAAGTCTGAATTCTTTGGTCCGAACACGTATAGTTGCAGAGACTGCATGATTGCCTTCCTAACAACCTGATATGGCAAAACTTTCGAGATAATGTTCTGAAGAAATTAATTCACGAGCTAATGCACTCCCAAGATTAATTGTTCAAATAGGGTGAAATACACAGTATTGGCAGTAGGTCGCCATGCACTCCAGGCGACCTTGTAGGCCGCCATGCACTTCGGGCGACCTACCCTTGCTCAAACAGAGAGAATGAACGTGAGAATGAACGTGTTGCATGGCACATGCACGTCCCAACACATAGGTCGTCATGCCCTCCGGGCGACCTTGTAGGTCGCCATGCACTCCGGGCGACCTACCCTCGCTCGGCTTCCCTCGGATTCCCTCGCATAGCTCTCTCGGTTGCCCTCGGATGCCCTCGCATAGCTCGTTCGGATGGCCTCGGATGCTCTCGGATGGCCTCGGATGGCCTCGGTCGGATGGCCTCGGATGCCCAGCGTGTTGGGACGTGCATGGCACATGCAATCTCTTGTAGATCGTCCGGAAGGCATGGCGACCTACGGCCACACTGTTGATTTTCACCATATTTCAACAAATAATATAAGGAGTGCATTAGATCGTGAATTATTTATTTTGAGTGCATTATATCGTGAGTTTAGCCACCTATATATATATGCAGATTAAAAGGCGAGTTGACTGAAGCGTCAAAGAAAATAAAAAACAAAAGGTTTGCATTTTGCAATGCTTACTCTTGTGTTTCAACTACAGCATCTTGCAACAATCGTGCAACATTGTCTCGAGGAACCTCTTGTAAACCGACAAGTAGATCATACCGCCGGTTCCTCCCAATCATCTCGACCAAATCTTCATACGATACCTTATAAGAGGAGGATACTCAGTATACATGTACTAATGAGTAATGAAAAATGATCAATATCGAAATATCAGCACTGCTGAAAGATGATGATTTGTTGATTTGAATTCACACGATTGATTTAAACCTGTCCATTCATGTTCCAAGTGACTATGCAAATGCAAAGGCCAGAGTTTCTCGAGAAGTTGCAAAGGTTATCCGCCTCTACTGTTTTTATTCCTTCATGAGTTCCAACGGGGTCGTTGAAAGAACCCACAACTGGTTTTCTCTTATGCTTTAATCTTCTTCTGCCAAGGCATAATCGTTTATCAGCAATCTCCATTGTTTTTAACAGAATAGATGTATATTGATAATATAATAAAAAAAAGATTTCAGTTCACGTACCCTTTACCTGAAACTTGAATCGTGTTGAAATTTCCCATATTTTTTCCTTTTTGGTTCGGATTACCATAAATAGCCAGCAGCAAGACGAAGACGATATGGATCAAGGTTTGGACAAAAAAGAAAACTCAAAACAGCGGAGGAGAGAGAAAGAGAGACAGCTATCATGCTTGACTTGAGAGCCTTATGAGATGTAATATAAAGACAGAAATTTCTGGCATTTTTCCGTGAAGATTTTGGGGGAAAAAAGTCAAAATGTCTGAAAAAAAATGTTAATGCATGCATGGATCTCTTATTTGAATGCATTTCTCTACAGGTTAGGTTTGGGTGTTTTTGACAATATATCAAAGTTGACATCGACCGTGCAGAAGTACCCTGTCTGATAAGCAAACCCTCTGAAGGACATTGATTGATTGAACAACATACTTGAACGTCTATAGCTGTTGACTTAAACTCAAGCCGGTGGCCCGCAGTCGGCTAGCGACCTAGGAATAGATTATCAGTATAAATAAAAGTTTATTAGGAAATAGAATTACTGAGAATGTTGTATTTTGTTTTGATTGGTTTAGGAGGAATGTAAGATTACCGTATTTTGTTAAAGGAATAAAAGATTATTCGAATGTATATTTGATCAAATTATCCTAATTATATATTTGTTTTTTAAATAAGTTAAAAAATATTTATATATTTTCTTTAAAAAAATTAAATTCATAAAATTTATATAATTTTTTTTCAAAATTGAAAATATAAAAATATTTAATGAAAGGATAACATTTTATTTTAATCTCTGAACTTCATATAAATTTTAATTATATATTTTTTTGTAAATCTAAAATAGTTTAAGAATAAATTTATAATTTAACCTTCATAGAATTTTTATTATTCAATGACAGAATAAGGATATTTTTGAATGAAAGAAAAATTTAAGGGCATTTTAGTTAAAACGTCGGTAATCTAATAATACCTAAGGAAAAAGAGATAATGACATTCCCGGTAATATACCCCAAAAAATTCACTATTGGTAATGTAAGATTACTGGGAATGACATTCCCAGTCAACCAAACGGGAGAATGTGGATTTAATTCTCATGAAAATCTTATATTTCCCCAACCAAACACACCCTAAAAACCTAAACCGGGCTCTTGATGCAGCTTTTCAATGGGTTTCTCTATTTTCAACCGTATGGACTTTTTTTTTTTTATCTTGGTTGAACAATAATACAACACTGTATCCAAAATCACACGGATTCTCGTGTTTATCTTGGATGTTTCTTCTCCCAGGTCTCACTTATCATGTTTATGAGTGCAAGAGATATATATACACCATAATGTAGACATGATTGAACTTTTGGAGGCGAACAGCAGAGTCGTGATTGAAGAGGTCGTCGAGTTATGACTTTCTTGCCGATCGATGGTTGAAACTTGGGAAGGAGGAGATGAATAGTCATTTGAGACATGTGCTTAATATTAAAAAAACAATATATTTTAGATATTGTAAGATATTTGAGTCATCTGCTTCTCCATCTATTTTGTTCCTTCCCCATTTCTTCTTTTTCCATCACAACAGCAAAATCTGAGCATTTACGTTATTTTAGGTTCCAAGAATTGAAAACTCCCCATTTTTGTTTTTGCTATTTCTGTTCTCCCATGTTTTGTTCGCCTTTTAGATTATGTTTGAGAAGTACCCTTTTTTTATACTTTCAAAAATACTTCAATATTTGAAGTCCTATTGCTCATGATTTTATTGACATTTCAAACGTCACTCAAATCAGTAATTAATTTCTTTTCACAAACATTTTTTAGACTAAAGGAATCTGCTTACTTAGGGGACACTGGAGATTCATAATTACTTTTTAAAGGTACTGGCTTACTGAACATCATTGTTGAGCCTAGTATAGTACTATCTTATTGTAATGAACAAGTTTCTTGGTTTCCTGGGAGTTTTAAATTGAGTGCCATTGTGTTTTCTTTTATCATTTAGACTTCTGCCTTCATAGGATTCTGCAAACACCAAAGTCGCATCCTTCTTTATTGACCTCTGGGAATTTTAGAGAAACTCCATTCGAGTCCTCTAGGATGGCCATGTGCCACCTTAATATATCTGTTTGTGGCCATGTGCTACTGGAAATGTGCCAACCAGGTTGCCTAACCCATGTGTGGATCTGAATTATCTATCCGTTCGCATAGATTTTGATGACATTGAGGAAAATACAGCTGCTCTATGTCTCTTAAAATGTTGTCCAAATCTCCAAGAACTGAAATGTTGACGAGTTTTTCTTTATTTTTCTGGCTTAGGTTCCTATGATGATGTACGTAGTAAGTAATATCACCAGCTTTTATATCACATCAATGTTTTTAGCTAAACTTCTAAGCTAAAAAGGTTAATATATGTTAGAGTTCCTGATATTGGAAGTCGGTTAGCTGTTGTAAACATCTGGTGCTTTACTTGGGCTCCAGCAATGGAGCAAACATCTGTGGAAAGATACAAGAACTTTTGGGAAGATGATCACTGGAGCTCGCTGTTTGGCCATCTGAGACTGGTAACAGTATCAGACATCACTGGTGTGAAAACAGAAATGGATTTCCTCAAGTTCTTGCTTTCAAATTCTCCTGTGCTTGAGCGTTTGACACTTAAGCCTGCCTCCCAGGGGTGTGGATGGGAGTTAATGAAGGAACTGCTGCGGTTCCGGCGAGCCTCAATATGTGAAGAAGTCATGATTATCTTAGTCATGGCTACCTTGTCGGAAGAATTCTTGTAATTTATTTTGTACTTAATATAATAGATGGATCCATGAATATGATTGAATCCTTGAGTTTAAAAGTACGAATCTCACAGTTTTTACTTAGAAATCTTTCTTTAATGGACAAATGTAGTAACATCATGCATTTTTTATGATGGTTTGAAGTATAAATCTCGCATAATATATCCTTACCTTTATTTTATCTACTAAAGGTACACAACCATATCAACTCCATTTCCATGAATTTCCATTGGTTTAGGTTTTAAAGCTGAAGAAGTGGATTAGGCAGCCTAAAGCATTTAGCATTGTAAAACAGGACCACCTAGTGTATTAAAGTGATCTCAGACTGTGCATATTAATACAAGCAATAGATTTGAGCCTGGTCCAATTCTACAAAAATGCTACCCAGAATCATATTTTGCTTTGCGGTTGTTTTAGCCATTGTGGTGGTTGTCCTGTTAGCCTTGCTCTCACCGGTAAGTCACAAAAGCTCATCGAAGAACGCTTCCCGACCTTGGCTGGACCTTTCCATGTACATTCAACAGCCACATATTTCAACCTCCAGCACCCAGCCTGTTGCCCAGTCAGATGCCGGAGCCTTCATCTTTCACCGTGTGCTCACGGAGGGACCTGAGAACACGTCTCGAGTAGTCGGAAAAGCCCAAGGCTTCATTATCCCGATAGAACATTTTTCCAATTCTGCTTTCAACATAATTTATCTCACTTTCGAAACACCCGAGTTTAACGGAAGCCTGAGTGTCGAGGCCAAGCACGTCGAAGACGAGGAAAGACAAGAATTAACAGTGGTCGGAGGAACAGGCTATTTTGCATTTGCACGTGGGCTTGCAATTTTTATGCAGACTAAATCCCAGTCACCCGTAGCTGATCCTGCTTATCATGTAAAGCTTCAGCTTAGATTTCCTAATAGATCTCAGACCATTCCAGGATGAGGCAGCAAACGTAGAATCATCCATTGGAGATGTCCTTGTTTTAATATCTCCAAATTTGATAGACAAATTTCAACTGCCTAAAAAGTAAACAAACCCAGCAAAAGGAAGATGATTTTCCAAGGGCATGAGCCATGATTCAAGTTGCTGCAGTAGTAATATTAGAAGTTGAGCAATGGTATGCATTGATGGTTGGAGCCTGTGGGAACGGAAATTTATACTTATGAGTTTTGATCCCAATGGTATTTCCTCTTATTGGATCGGTTAGATTGTTTAAAAATAGTTAATACAAAATTATGGTGTTTAAATATATAAAGAAGCAAGCTAATTATTATGGGGTTGAGGTTTGCGTGATTCTCAATTCATATTTATATTTATGCAATTTTTTCTGCCTATTATTTTAAAATTTTATTTTAATTATTATTTATATCTATTGCGTGATTCTCAATTCATAATTATAGAAATTATAGATTTTATTTATATTTGATTATTTTAAAATTCTAAATTCATCAAGTGTCTTTAGTAGTAAAAATAAATATTATTCTCTAGAAATTTTGAGTTTAAACAGTTATGAATGTAGGGATGTGTGCATTGTTAATTAATTAATTTTTTTAAATAAATATTATATTATAATTATAATTATTTTAGATTGCTAAATGCTAATTATTATATAAATTATAGATAGATACTTTTGTTGAAGCAATTATTATATGTCTTTATTCCGAACCCGGTTTATCCAGATAAATCTGACCGAGTTCCTCAAATTTTCGTCCTTATGTTATAAGCCGGCTCATATTACTTTTCTCCTTTTTGGTATCTTTTATTTGGTCTGTGTCTGGTAATGAGTTAGTCAAGCAATTTTCACATTTCTCTCTCATTTTCTCTCTCTCTCTTTGAGATTCGGCAACTGAGGAGCTAGCATCGGTTGAGGAAGGGAGGAGACAGTTGAAGGAATACGAAATGGCGAAGTCGAGCGCAGACGATGAGGAGTTAAGGCGAGCTTGTGAAGCCGCAATCGAAGGCACGAAGCAGAAGATTGTGATGTCAATTCGCGTCGCTAAAAGTCGCGGGATCTGGGGCAAATCTGGCAAATTAGGCCGCAACATGGCTAAACCTAGAGTCCTCGCTCTTTCCGGTACGGCTTTTCCACTTATAATGTTTCCTCTACTTCAATTTAGGATGTATGGTGTTCTTTTTCCCCCCACTTATTTTCAACTTGAAATTTGTTGACTATGCTAGAATTGTGTTAAATACGATGCTGAATTATGAACTAACCATTACGGTTGTAGAATTGTGTAAAACTGGTAGGACAGTTCAAATCCGAGGAATATTTGCTATGCTTTTGGAAGGATTTTGGAATTAAAATAATATGATTAGGATTTGAAGTGGCATGTGTTGCCGTATTCGTCTGCTGTGGGGATTCTTGTTTGGAGTGATACTGGATTCTTGCAGTGTTTATTTTTTCCTTGCCCTTACGAAGAACTATGATTTGTGCAGTGAAATCAAAAAGGTCAGGAAACTGAAGCTTTTATGCGAGTTTTGAAGTATTCTTCAGGAGGAGTTCTCGAGGTAATTATCTCTTGTATAATCTTTCAGACAATGTGCGTTATGAAAGACGTGCAGGAAGATGATCCGATGAGTTTGCCATTCTTTATTGATTAAGCCTTGTAATAGTGTTACTATGTGGTCGGTTACTACAGCTGAACTTGGAATGATTGTGGTGGTCATTGTGAGGTTGCATGCTTGCACTTAGCTGTAATAGTATTCTACCTCTGAGGCTGTGCTGGCCCATTTACTTTTTTTAGGATTTGCCGGTACAGTTGCTTGCTTCTCTGGCTTAATTATGCTAATATAGTTGATTATTTTTAATCATACATCAGGTTTTTGTGTTACCAAAAGGATATCGGTGTGTGATTAATTGGCTTTTGCATACATTAAATCAATTCATAAGATAAAGAATGAAGGATATAGCTTTTTATTGATCATGTCTTTCCTTTTTTTTTTTTTACTGAAGTTTGCTATTGATGAAAATAATGATAAACATTGGCTCGCCATTTGTCTACCTCTACATGTGAAACATGGAATATTTTAAACAATCACTTTTAGCATTACTGAGGAGAGAATATTACTGGTGTAAGGTTACAACAAAATTCGTTAAGTTTCATTTCAAAGGGCATGAAACTATTTGATGAAGGATGAAGTTTCTAAGTCTTAACTGGTCGATATTCTAGTTTTATTGTTTTTAAGATCATATATTGACATAAGCATTATTTGAAATTGTGCAGCCTGCTAAGTTATACAAGCTGAAGCATCTTTCAAAGGTGGAAGTTGTGACTAATGATCCAAGTGGATGTACTTTTACTTTGGTAAGCCCTTTCCTTTGTTCTTTTTCTATTAATTATTCGAATAAGAATATTTTTTTGAAAGCTGTATGTTATTTGATCTTTGTCTATGTGATTTTAAGGAGCAACTGAGCAGAAGTAGAATATATGAGTACCTTAAACTTCTTTTCTTTGTTCTCCTTGCATGGGATTTTTTCTCCAGCTTCTAACTGAACTTCTTTTAGGGATTTGATAACCTCAGAAGTCAAAGTGTTGCTCCACCTCAGTGGACTATGCGCAACATTGATGACAGGTAGATTGAAATAGCTCTGGAATGAAGATATCGCCTTTTTTTGCTGTTAGCTGTTTCATCCCCCTCCCCTTTGGATCCTTCCTTTTGGTACTCCACCAAAATTAATGTTTATCTTCTTATTTTGATTGTTTCTTAAATATTTTTGCAGGAACCGCCTTTTATTATGTATATTAAACATCTGCAAAGATGTACTCGGTTGCCTTCCCAAAGTTGTTGGTGTAGATGTCGTGGAAATGGCACTTTGGGCTAAGGTGAGCTTGATGCTTTTATTCTTTCCGATTTCTTGACTCTTGAATTGATAATGAATATTGTTTTAAGAAAATTAGAAATTCTTAACGAAACTCGGAAAAGCGGCAATTATGCAGATCGTAACATAAGCTTTTAGTTGTTGATGCCTAGTAGTCAAAAGTTTAAGGATGTTTTAACTTATTGATCCTTTTGGATTGGTGGTCATTCTGAGCAGTATAACATCATAGTGTTGAGTCTGATTTTGTTTAGAATATCTAGCAGATATGTTTTCCCCTAAAATTTAAGAATGTCCGTGTCCATAATTTTTCGAATCTATGTTTTCTTTATTGTCTTTGACCTGTATATTGCATCTAGGAAAATACACCTTCAGTAACTACCCAAAGGAATCTGCAAGATGGGCTCGTTGCTACTACAGTAGTAGAAAGTGACTTGAAAGTGAGTGTTGAAAAGGAACTTGTCTCGCAAGCTGAGGAAGAGGACATGGAGGCTCTTTTGGGCACGTATGTTGTTCTTTTATTCTGTTATAAGGTTCTTCAGTGAATATCAGATGTCCATATCTATGTGTTGCATTTGCATTTTTTTAACTAAAATATTCATGTACCATGTGCCAAATTACTGAGATGGTTAGATCACAGCTAAAGCCAAAACGTTTGAGGATACAGGTTGGTTCTTGTACTGGTCATAGTTCCTAGAAAGTCCATTCTTTTTTTTTTCTGAAGGGAAGTCTATGATTCTTGATCTCTCTCTCTCTCTCTCTCTCTATCACTTTTGTCTTTCGTTTCATTTGCATAATTGGAAAAACAATATGATGTTTGGTAAATATTTAAGCTCCTCAATCCTATGCTAATGTTTTTTTTATCATAATATGGTACACAGGTATGTCATGGGCATTGGTGAAGCAGAAGCATTTTCTGAACGGTTGAAGCGGGAGCTTCATGCACTGGAAGCAGCAAATGTGCATGCCATTTTGGAAAGTCAACCTTTAGTAGACGAGGTATTTCTTCTATTTTTACTTTTTAATTGTGTTCTCATTATTTTTATTCTCAGATCTCACTGGAACCATGTTGGGACATATAAATAAGAATAATAGCCTTTATTGTTCCTTTCCTTTATGGCTCTTCTGGTGTAGTGCCACCCCCTTATGCATTTGGTATCAAACAAACTTATCAGATATCTTATGCAGTCTTGTTTCCTCCCATTTGAGATACACTCAAGTGAACCATTTATTCCTTGAGTTCCAGTTTCTTCTCTGAGAGCACCTTATTATGATTGCCTACTACGAAATAGTTTCTATGTAGATGTTGCTGTGCTTGAGCAACTTTTGTTTATTTCTCTTTCCTTGTGGCTTTTTTATGGTTTTATATGTTTAGGACATTCTTTTGTTTTTTTTTTCCTTCACATGAAAATATTGTTCAAGTTTGGTGATGCTGTTATTCACTACTATTACCAATATGTTTCTTACTTACTAAGCTAGCTAATTATTCTTTTCTTTGTCTTTCAGGTCTTGCTAGGGCTAGAGGAAGCAACAAGTTGTGTTGACGACATGGATGATTGGTTAGGCATGTTCAATGTTAAATTACGACATATGAGAGAAGATATTGAGTCGGTAGGGAACTTTTGTGTACAGTTTACTAATATGTAGGATCTATTTTCAACCTGTATAAGCCGTCTGTATTCCATCATTTATATGCTTCTACTTTGCTGCTAATTTTGTTATGAAGCTAAATTATGAAGATTAAACTATGTATATTCCTGACTTCCAACATCTGATCTCTTCTTGTGTTGGTATGAACTTCATTTCACAATATATCAGATAGAGACCAGGAACAACAAGTTAGAGATGCAATCTGTTAATAATAAAGCACTCATTGAGGAACTTGATAAGCTTCTTGAACGATTGCGAGTCCCTTCCGAGGTATGTCATTGATGACTATATTTTGTTTATATTCAGCCTATGTATGTGGTCTGCATTTCCCCTGACAATGCTTTTTATTGGTTGTAGTATGCAGCATGTCTGACAGGAGGCTCGTTTGATGAGGCTCGCATGCTTCAGAATGTTGAAGCATGTGAGTGGTTAACTGGTGCTTTACGCGGCCTTCAAGTACCTAGCTTGGATCCCACTTATGCAAAAATGCGAGCCGTAAGGACTCCCCTCTCTCATGCCGTTTTAAAGTTTGTTTTTAGGCAAATAAACCATATGTAGCACGTGGTATTGCCATTGGGTCGGGGTTTATAAATTTTGAAGTACCTAACTTGGATCCTACCTTTTTGTCTTTATTTTAGGTTAAAGATAAGAGGGCGGAACTCGAAAAACTAAAAGCTACATTTGTACGGAGAGCTTCTGAGTTCTTGAGAAACTATTTTACCAGTTTGGTGGATTTTATGATTAGTGACAAAAGCTATTTCTCTCAGGTTTTCCCTTCATTTTATTCATTTTTTATGATAAGTATTAACTT